AGAAATTCAGCTCCAGCTGGGATATGCAGGATCTCAAAACAGTAGGGTCTTGCCTAAGACCAGACTGGCAGCATCTTTCCCCTTGAGAGGCTGCAGCTCATGGGACCTTTTGATTTCAAAACCCAGCAGAAGCCAGGAGCTGGGAGCTATCCATCCACAACTGGTATGAGAGGGGGTCCCACCTCCTCACTTGCTGTAGGACAATCAAAATACCCCTGTGGGCTGCAGTTGGCACCACTGTCACAGGTTACAGATCCACACGTCAAGGAAAGATGCTTAAAACCAGTTTCTTTCTGCTCACAAGTCCATTTACCCTTTCCAAAATCGCCTCTCATTAGTGTCAACTGCTGAGGATTCACAAACTAAAACACTCACACACAGTCTGAGTGCCTTGACAATTCAAGGCATGGTACAAGTTAACATCAGCATCTAAAACTTTCAGAAGTATTGCAAACAATCACCACCCCTCAACTCACAGATAAAATATTCTGTAAAGCTTAAATACATATATTTCTGGCATGAAACATTTCTCAGTGCTGGCAAAACTTCCCTGTAATTTTTTACAATAGCATACTTTGAGTTCAGAAGCTGGTTGTAGGGTAAAATTGTTTTTTTTTATTAAAACCCATATGTGGTCTTACCTTTTAGCAGAGGCAGGGGAGTTAACTCGATAGGCTTGCCCTGAGACCTAAACTGGGAGGAGCTTTGTGACCTCTTCTGTCTGGCTTTTCTGACGGACTTCCGAGAAAATCCGTCTACTTTATCCACTGATGGAGGAGTAGTTGGTGCTGAGGACATATCCCTACTGAAGGAAAACAAAGGTTACAAATATACTCCAAATGAGTGAAATGGGTAAAGATTAGCCTAAACTTCCCAAATATCTTCTTTCTGCAGCACTCTCCTGTTGACAACTCACCCACATAAACTGTTAAGAGATTTAGCCCACCGATACATTTACACATTGTATGGAATAAACTTAATGGAGCTTAATCGTTAATGTAATAATTCCTCTTGCTCACCTTTTTATCTGTGTCTCCCATTTGCCAAAAATCCTGCAATGGGAAAAATTCAGACCTAATGCTGACATCATTATGTCAACAGAATTCATACACCTGTAGACCTGACATAGGATTGTTGCTTTAAACTATGTATTCTTTGGGATGAAGTAATTTCAACTCACTCTGCAAGAGACCATGTATGCTAAAGAATGGATACACAAAAAGGTACAAATGTTTTTTTGGCATTCAAGTCACCAATATGCATGACCAAAAAAAAAAAAAAATAGGACAGCAGAAAAATTCCATTTGCTTACCATACCTGAATACCAGATTTTATAGAAATGTAAGAAGGTATAGCAGAAAGTACTGTTATACTTCACAATTTCGCTAGCACTGACAAATTCTACATAGTGCTTCTTTATTCTCCATTTTAGAAATACTCAGTTACTTTCCTGTGAGTCTCTTTACACGTAGTTATTCCACGTTCTGGCATTTCTGTAGGACCAGCAGTGTGGTAGCTGTAACTGTTCTAAGGGCACAAGCCAGACAAGGTTTGCAGGGAGAGGCAGAGAGCCAAAAAAGGCTTCTGCAAGCAAAAGTTTGTTTGTTTCCCAACTTCAGCTGGTGTAAGCAACAAGCACTGCATCTTCCTATAAAACCGGCCTTGGTAGTACTCCTGTAGCTGATTCCATACCACTAGGAAACATTTTAACAGTGAATTAATGCATTCACCTATTGTATTTACCAGTCTTGTCCTGCGTGTTATAAAGGCTCATCAGATCTTGATGAACTACGTGAGCAATACTCAACAGAAACGAGACAGGAGGAATTCAGGCCTACATGTTTCAAGCAGCTCTGTGCACAGTTAACTTCACCAGCGTGTGCAGCTCCCCTGAAATCAGCAGCCCCATCTGCATTAATGACACGATCATTAGCGAGAGCAGCTCCGTTGATTTCAGCCAGGCCACACACTCGTGCAAAGTTAAGCATCGGCGTAAGCATTTGCAGGATCAGGGTCTTAGAACATGTCCTTGGAAAGCATTACTCATCCTCAATGTCTTGTTGACTTCAATTACCAAAGTGACTCCTTTGCTACAACAAGTTGATTCCACGACACAGAGAACACTTTCGAGTACTTATTTTTATTAAAATATTTGATTACTCATAGGCTTCATAAATTACTAAATCCCCTGAAACAGACATTATTTGGGTTTGTCTTTTGTAAGAAAAGCTTTCGAAAGCATGATTTGTTGCAACAGTGTAAACAAGCTCCGAAAGATAAGAACTGTTTAATGCAGAATCACATATAGGTGCACTAAATCTATCAAAAATGGGAGTATAAACTCCATAGCTTCTTCGAGGAAGCATGTGCAGCACTCAGAAGGTGAACTGTGCAGCTGGCATTACAATAATGAAAAAATCTCATTCCATCTTTTTGATTTCTCCTGAGGTATTCTCTCACTACCAGCTTAGGCTTTCTAAATATAATATACTATCAGCAACATGAACCCGTACCTTAAACTGGTCTTGTTTATCATCTGGGCGGAAAAAAAAAAAATGCCACCATCACCAGGGCATTCAGGCCCCAGCCAAGATTAATAAATAAAAAAGTCAGATAAACTGAAATAGAATGGCCTGTACTTTAGTAACCCACTTCTAAGATTTCAACAGTCCGCCAAAAAACATACAAACACGAAGTTACCTGTTACATAAACCAAATTCTGGAAATATCAGCAAAAAATATATTCCCTAAACCTGAATCGGTTTGGCCCTATTTCATCTCATCAGGAAGCTTCCCCTCCTCATCACGTGCATCATTAAAGTGTAACCATCCCTGCAGAAATGTTTGCACGCTCCCTCCAAATTAAATTAAAAAAAAAAAAAAAAAGAAAGAATAATAATGGACAGGGACTAAAGTAGATCACTTAAACTGCAGGATCATTGTGTCAGCAAGGAGCTTTACTGACACTTCCCCGCTGTAAATTTAGTAACAGTTTCCCTAACCTGCTTTATAAATTATTAAAATCTAATTCTAATTCAACAAGACTCCATCCAGCCTAACAACGTTACAGTAAACACTGATCTTTCTTTTCGTCTCCCCAAATGAACATTCGCTGCCCTGCATACACTATCACAGGGAAATACTCTGTTTCCACCAAGAGTCGGGGGGGGGGGGAGGAGGGAGGAGGGGGGGAATAAAGCCCGAGATTATTTATTGTGTGCGAGGGGGAAAAGCTGCAAACCCGGCCACCCGCTCCCCGCTTCCTCCGCTTTATTCCCCGAGTATTTTGGTAAATACGAAGCCACGCTCATCAGATCCCTCAGCCCCGGGGAAGGGGGGGATGGTGGAAGACGCGAAAATACCGACGGATATCGGCGGGGAAAAGGGAGCAGAGGCGCAATTATCCGCTCCCGGCTGTCATTTCCAGACGGGATCTCCGCAGCTGGAACATGTCCTCCCGCAGCCCTCCTCCCGCACCGCCGGGCCGGCCATGGAGTTACCTTGACGCTCCTGGGTAGAGAAGCCGGAGACGGAGGGAGGCGGCGGCGGCCTTGGCGGAGCGCGGCCGATGCCTGGCGGCGGCGGCGGCGGCCCGAGTGCGGTTCTCGCCGGGCTCGGTCGCTGCCGCGGCGGCGCAGGAGCCCTGTAGGCCTCGGCCTCGGCAGCGGCGGGGCCTCCCCGGCGCAGGGCGGCGTCGGCGGCGGGTTCAGGCGCGGGCGGCTCCGCTCAGTCCCGTGCACTCCCCGCTGCCTGCGGTGCCGCTGCCTCTTCACATTCCCGGAGAAGGGCCCTGCGAGGCGGGGTGGTGTGGGGGGGGGGAGCCGCCGAGCACAGCCGAGCCGAGTCGAGCCGAGGGGGAGCGGCGGGCGCGGAGAGGGGGGGGCAGTGCCGGGCAGGGCGGGGAGCGCGGGTTCCGCCGGCGGCGCTGGCGCGGGGGAAGAAGAGCGAGTGGAGGGTCCCGGTGGGCGTCGGGGTCGCGGTCCTATTGTGGCTCTCAGCGGGCTCCGGCCATGGCACTCGCTCGCACACACTCGCTCGCTCACAACCGAGCGCGCTGCTGCCACCGCCCCCCGACCGCGGACCGCCCCCGACCGCCCACCGGAGCCGCCGCCGGGACGCGCCGCCTCAGTGGCGCCCGGAGCCGCCTTGGCCGCCGGGACCGCCGGGAAAGGGCCGCCCCCTCCCCCGGCAGCGGCGCGGCCCCGCCGCTCCCGCAGCCCCGCGGATCCGCCGCATCCCGCAGGTCCCTCGCATCCTTCGCCCGGGGGAGCGGCGGGGCCCCCTCGGCTGAGCGGTAAAACCCGGCGCTGCTGAGGGAAAACCCCGCTAAGGCTGAGGTAAAGCCCCCCGTCGGAGCCCCTCGCGGGGCGCAGAGCCCCTTCCCGGGGAGGGCAGCGGGCGAGGGGCCGCGCCGGGTCCGGCCGGAGGGACCCGCTGCGGGCACGGCCGCAATTCCTTCTTTGTCCGCAGTGGGAAGCAGCGGCTGCAGCCTCCCTCTCCTCTCTGCACCCTTGGGTTTCTTAGCCCAGTGTGTGATCGCTGTCTGCACCACCCTTTTTTATTTTTTTCCCCCCCTTAAGTGTATTTTTATATACTTGGAACCAGAGACCAGCACAACGGCTGGTTAAATGTCATAAATTTTTGTTTAAACTTATCTACCCGATGGCTTTGGTGTTTGAGGGTTTTGTTTTGGGTCCTGGTTGGTTTGTTTGTTTGTTTTCCCCAAAATACAGCAAACGGCTATAGGGCAATGGAGCTGGTGAAGGGACTGGAGAACATGTCTTTGAGGAGCGGTTGAGGTTGTTAAGATGGGGTTGTTAAGCCTGGAGAAAAGGAGGCTCAGGGGGAACCTTATTGCTCTCTACATCTCCTTGAAAGGAGGATGTAGCCAGGTGAGAGTTGACAGGTAACAAGTGACAGGACAAGAGGACAGTCTTAAGCTGCACCAGGTGAGGTTTAGGTTGGACATTAGGAAGCATTTCTTCACAGAAGGGGTGATTAGACATTGGAATGGGCTGCCCAATGTGATGGTGGAGTCACCATCCCTGGAGGTGTTTAAGGAAAGACTGGACCTGGCGCTCAGGTGGTGTTAACACAGTGGTGTTGGGTCATAGATTGGACTCAGAGGATGATTTCAGAGGTTCTTTTCCAGTGTAATTGATTCTGTGATTCTGTAATAGTGTTAATATGGGTATTACGTTTGAAAATACTCTCCACTGTTTCTCCTATATTTCTGGCAAAGAAAAAAAGCTGACTTATATCAGCAGCAGCCCTCCTGCATTGATATCACCAAATTCCTCTGAGGTACAGTCTTTTTTTTTTTTAGGAAATGAGAAGGGTAGTTTGAGAGCTGGTTGCTTTGGTGGATCAGTCACATCCCTCCTTTTAGTGCAGGTACAGGACCCTCTGAACATTACTAATCCTGCAAAGGATACCTAGTTGTGGTCCCACTCAGCTTCTTGACTCAGCTTTTGGCATAACAGAGGGCGTGGGACTGTGTCAGACTCGATTTAAAGTGATGTAAGCTGTTGTCAAGCTACTTTCAAAATTGCTAATTTTCAGGCAGCTAAGTTCCCTGGTCCAGTTCACGTTGAGGAACCTGGAACACTAGTTAAAAGCTCAAGGCTACTGAAGTATAACTAATGGATGTGAACAGTTTTCCCTCTCATCTCTCAAAATGCCTCTTCATATGTTAAGAATTAGGCCTCCCCTAAATTTTTTTACCCACAGACAAAGTGTTTTCAGTTCATTTCAATCATTCATTGTGTGACACAGTTTTAAACCTCTTAAAGTGCTTATTTCTTGGCTCTGTGTTGTCTCAAAATCATTCACATCTTTTTTTGAACTGTAGCACCCAAGACTGGACACTGCTACAGTTGAGGCCTCAACATCTGCTGTCCTGCTTCTCACAGACCACATTCCTGTGTACATGTGCCAATACAAATACTTTGGAGTCAGTCTGATCTATCCACAATCTTGCTGACCTGTCTTACCCCCGCATCCATTTCTGCTGACCTACCAAGCCAGTTATTTCTCCCTCAAGTAGACAGTAATGCTACTTGAGAAATTACTTCCTGCAGCAGCCCTAATGCTATGCCCTCATTTTTATTGCTGGATAATCAAGCAGTCAAAACACATTTTGAAATAAAATTCCACATGATGTTAAGTCAGAAAACTGTAGAATTTGTCATCCTTTGTAAATTGACTGCATTTCTCGCAAGAATTGTATTTGAAAAAGCAAAACTTAGATTGAACTGTGCCACGGTTACAGAAAGGTTGTGTAACTAAATTTAGAAGAGAGATTTGTACATATTTGTAAATATTTTAAACTTTAAATTCACTTAAACTAAAGCAGCTAAAATAATGTAACTGTAAGCAAGGATTGATAACAAAGAATGTAGGTCAAGGAGAGGGTGGTGTTATACCAATAAAAGGTAAAATATGATAGAAACAGTGTAGCTTCCCATCAGTGAGGGACAAAACATGTTTTGCTGTTATATATACTTAATTCTGTTAGTTGTGTTTGTCAGTGACATACTTTCATTCTCAGTTTTGGTCACTGTCCTGTGTGCTGCCTTTGATCTGAACAGTGCAATGAGCAGCTCAGAAAGTTATTGCCAGCATACTCTGCAGAAGGGAAGTTCTAGCACAGCCTGATGGCTACACTGGCACTTTAGGTGCAGTTGAGCAAGTCATTTTACATGATTGTACTTCAGTCTTCCCAGTATGAGAAGAAATCCATCTTTGTAAAACACTAAAAATCTAAAATTGAAGCCTGTGATGTAGGTATCTATTAAAATAAGTGCCATAGAAGGGATAAAAACCAACACTGCTGTCCAAGTCCTGTGCACACAGAGGTTTTTACTCCTCATTCTGCCTTTGTGTAACAGCTATCGAATTAGTTCTTCAGTACAGCTGAACAAGCTGGTAAATAATGCATTCAGCTAGTTTATTTCTTAGATGGTCATCATGTGGTATGTTTGGTCCATTTTGATTGTGTAAAGCATTTTTATGATGTGTTTTATATCAGGTGATGTTTGGATGGTAACAATTCAAGACAAATACAGGCTTTATCAGTGAATAAACAGAAATCTTACCTTTTCTGTTTCGCTTGGCCATCAGATTTTGCAGAGTAGGCTTCCCACTTATTTCCAGATCGCTTTCTTTTTCCTCCTTTAATCTGTGAAGTCCTCATCTGTGAGAAGATTTAAGAGCATGATATAAGATATGAATGTAAAACTGCTGGTATTTTGAAGGGGCACTTGTCCTTCTCCTATTCTGTGTTTAGGCTGCATTTTGTAAAAATTGTTACTTTAAAAAAAATGGATAAGTGAATTCCAAGCAGAGATGGAGAAGAACTAAGTACTACAGGTGTTTTACATAGATGTGTATCTGTATATGTTTATATATGTGTTTGTATAAACACCAATTTGCAAGAATAAAAATTGACTTTCATCAGATAAAGTTCACATGACCAACATCTCCCATACAAGTGTGTGGGCATATATATGAAAATATAGGCACAGTCAGTACCTGCAGCCCTTCCTGGAGATTTACAAGCAATAATAAGTTCTTTTGATCAGTGTTTCTCCACTGCTGTCAAAGGTACAAGACAAGCCTATCCTTTTCATAAGTGGCATTGCCTTACTCCCCTACAAAAGGGCTTTTTAAAAAATGGCAGGAGAGGAATTTTCAGGGCTAGCTCCTTGCCAGTTCGGCACTGTGCTTTTTAGCACCCAGTCAGAACAGCAGTCAAGAGTCCTCCAAAACAGAGATTTTTTGTACCAGTGACTCAGATTTGTGCCACTTCACGTTATTTTGTGTGGTTGAAGTTCCACTATAGACCATCTGTTATGGCCACCCAGGCAGGAGTACGGAGCTCTCATCCACATTGGCATTCTGCTCTCTACATAGCAGCTTATCAAACGGGATTGCTACGGAGATACCCCTATGGAAGTCCTGCTCCTAGCTGGAGTTTGTAAATGTCTCACATGGCACATCTGACATGTATTTGTCTACAGGAGGGGTCACATAATGCTCCATAAAGGATCTCCGATATGTCAAAAGGAGCATTATCGGGGGTACCATGGGATTAGTTCAGATATTCCCTGTTCCAATACTAGTAAGCAAGAAAAGACTTGCTCTCCCCAGAGAACTAATTATTCAGACCGGCAAGAAAAAGACCAGAAAGAGAAAGCGTTATGGAGGAAGCAGCAGAGCTGTTTGAAGAGGCAAATCAGCATGTGAACAAGGCTTTTCTGATACATCTTTTAACAAAAATGAACACAGTGGAACACCACATCAAAGTAACTGTCCTGCTCCATCAGCGTGATTGAAACGGCACAATCTGTGATTTTTTTTTGTTTACTTTTGAATGAAATTCACACGTAACAAGAAAGCGTTTCTTCTCAGTCTGTTTACCCTGCACTTGACTCCTGATTCATACGTTCTACGTTTTGGGGAGGAGTGGCATGTCCGGCTTTTGGGCGACATTTGTAATCGCTGTACCAAGTTTCTGCCGTAATAACCAAGTGCTCGTTCCTCCTTGCCTCCTATCAGCTCTGTGATAACACTGTCAGTGCCCTCAGGAATTGAATTCCTGGTTGGGGGGGGGGGTAAGCGTTTTAGGGTCATAGACACAACTACCAGAATGGGAACTAATTCTTCCTCTCTGTTTATAGACACTGCGTCATTTGAAGTCTGTTTCTCTAGTCAACATGGCAAGATAAGTAGGAGCTTGCTCGCCTTGGCAGCTGGAGAGCTGCCTCCTCCCAGCACCACACTGCTCTCACTGATTCCCAATTCACGGTTTTGTTCCTACTTTGCTCCCCTCCCCCAGTGTCTTAACTTGCCTTCAGGCCCCAGGCACTCCTTTAAGCCAAGTTTTCTGAATTTTCTGTTCGATTTCCTTTGCTGCCTGTTTACCTCCGCCTTCCTTGGGCTTTGCAGTGCCCTCCTCGGCCAACCTGCCCTCCCCAACTGTCCCTGCCCTCCCCAACTGTCCCTGCCCTCCCCAACTGTCCCTGCCCTCCCCAACTGTCCCTGCCCTCCCCAACTGTCACTCCCCAGCTGTCACCCCCCAACTGCCTCAGAAGGTTCTAGTGCTCCCCCTTCTCTCCTGGGGCAGTGCCGGCAGGGCTGCCTCTGGTGCCTGAAGCTGCCTGGAAACACAGCCACGTGTGTGACGTGGTCCCCCTGTGCCACTGGGGTGTTTCTGAGTCCCAGGTGAAACGAGCTCTGCTTCTGTTCCTTTGCTTTGTGATCAAGCCTCCTTCCAGCAGCTGAAGGGAGTCTGCAAGAAAGATGGGGAGCGACTTTTTACAAGAGAATGGAGTGACATGACAAGGGGGAATGGCTTCAAATTGAAAGAGGGTTTAGATTGTGTATTAGGAGGAAGTTCTTTGCTGTGAGGACGGTGAGGCCCTGGAAAAGGTTGCCCAGAGAAGCTGTGGCTGCCCCATCCCTGGAAGTGTTCCAGGGCAGGTTGGATGGGGCTTGGAGCAACCTGGTCTAGTGGAAGGTGTCCCTGCCCATGGCAGGTTGGAATGAGATGATCTTTAAAGTCCCTTCCAACCCAAACCATTCTATGATTCTGTGATTCTAAGTCTCCTCAGTTATCTCTGCATTTAATGCATTACAAGCCAGTATATACAGTGCTATAAAACCATCCTCTTCATGTGAGCACGTTTTACTGAAGCCCAACTTCCTACCTACAACATCACACCTTGAAAAGAGCTAATGAGTAAAAAATACCTATGTCTGTTGAAAGTGCCCGGCAGTGCTTTAAGTGTGTGAACTGTAGCACTTCCCACATCTTCAGTGAGGCACCTACCAGCTCCCTCCCAAGCTTGGTGCATCTCTCATGGTTATAGCAGTTGATAAAACTCTTGAGATTTTCCCCAAGTTCAGAGTCCCTGAGGCTGGAGTAGGCTGAGACAGAGATATCTTGTTCCCTTTGTTATGAAAGAGAACAAGCAAGTACTCGTGTTGTATTTTTCAACCTGCTTTATCTCTGTCTCATGGTACAACTTTAACCTGTTGGATACTTTTAAAGTTTTCAAATTATGGCAAGGGAAAGTCTTCTGTAGTCAGTAGCTAAGCTCAGCATTGTAGGGAATGCTTAACATCAGAGGGGGTCTAACAGCACTTAAACAAGTTTAAAATATAAGTTTTAATGGGTTCCAGATTTTGCAGTACAAATGAATGAATATGTATGAATACTGCCAAAATGGGAAGGACAGGAAAAGAAAGGTTATAAGAGCATTTTCTAAAGCCTTCCCAGATCTACTATCAGGGTTAAACAAATATGATAATTTTGCCACTGAGATAATTACATGAATAAGGAGGTTGTAGTTCTGTCATGACCCTGTAAAAGAATTACAGATGCCCTATAAATGGCTAGTAAGAAAGAACTTCACATGAGAGAGGAACTGGAGTTGAAAACCAAAAGCTATAAATCTTAGAAAAAGACAGAAATTGATTCGATTTAGACAGAAAATAGCAAAGAAACACCTAAATAATCTCCTGACTAAGCAGACCACACAAAAATAGATGACTGGAACAGGAACAAAACTGGTGTTCTGTGCAAGTGCTGGAAGTGCTAGAAGTTGAAAAACTTGGTTGAAGAGATGAGGTTGTCTCACTTTAAAGGAGCACTGATAGAACTGATTTTTAGGAAATTCTGCGAAGGAATGGCATTAAAGCCTCTTCAGCACCTCATGGCAGAAAGAGAAGAGGATGCCAAGGTTAGGATAGGAATAGCAAATAAAACAGAAAATGTCATCATACCATTGTACAAATCATTGTGCATCCTTCCTTATCTTTAATGCTGGGTAATTTAGTATGGACTGTAAAATACAGAGAAAGCCAAAAAATAAGATGGCTGGGTACAATTCTCACAAAAGAAGAGGATTAATACACTGGGGATCTTGAGGTCAGAAGAAAAAACTTCATGCTGAATTTGCTAGAGGTTTGTCAAGATCTTCGATGGAATGGAGATGGGTGAACGAGTGACTTATTTATCAAAACTGCTTTGTATTATTTGATCTTGTGTCCTCTGGCAAGATGGAATATTACAAGCTCTCACATCCTGTTATGAAGGCAAAAAGTGTGAACAGGTTCAGTAAAAGAAAGTTTTAAAAACCAGATGCTCAAGGGCATCAAGGAGATTAAATTGTCCTTGTACTTTAACATAATTGCAACATACATTACATATGCAATATATTAATGACTGTAGAAGCTTATTTACCACTAAATAAAAATGCACCACTATCAACTTTAAAAATCGGTTTTATAGAGAAGTCTAGACACCAGATTTAGGGTAAGATATCTCAGTAAATACAGAATAATTTGAGCCAATATAAAATGTGTGATATGATAATACTTGGCATATTATCATTATTGGATGGCTTCTTTGACATTCTGTCCAGCCCCCACACTTAAAAGAATTTTCAACATTATCCAGTGTCAGGTAGGACCTGGAAGAATTTGTAGCAAGAATCAACAGCCGAGACTTCAGTGAGAGCTGATCAAAACCAGAAGTGAGATTTTCATTTCTAAGAAGGCACAAGGAGAAGTTAAACCCACGATTTGCTAAGGCACCGAGCGGCGCCATAGGACACTCCTGGAAAATTCATCTTAAGCTATATTTAGTACATTCACAGAAATTGTGGCTCCCACTTGAGCCATTTCAGCTCAAATATAAATAAATAAATAAATATTTAAGAGAGTTGTGTGCTTCTGAGTCATGTTTAGTTCTAATATGTGTCTTTCTAGGTGAGCTCCTACCTCGGAGCAGATTCATCTCTAGCTGCAATTCTATAGGTGTGCACCTGTACTTCACGTGTTAAAGTCCATCAAAAATACACTAGACAGTGAAATGCTAATATTGAAAGCTTTTAGTACACAAATGGCCAACAAGAGCCCTTCAGACAAACTCTTCCCTGCAAGTTTGTTTTAGAATAATTATAGTTTCTTGCAGTTACTGGCTTTTAATGATGGGCTCTTGAGATTTTTTTTTTAGTTCCATTATCTTTGTAGAGTTTAGTTCTTGAAATTTTATCACGATCTCATTGCATGAGTGTGAGATACTCCAGGGCAATGCTGTTCAATGCCTGCTTGAGTACAATTTTAAAATGTAATTTTTTTTCTTTTCTCTGATTTATACCTAGGTCAAATTCATATTATTGTCTTGGGTTCCTTCTTGAAAACTCACTGCAGCTTCATTCGAGATCTTAAAATATGATGTAAGTCACATCCTGGAAAATGTGAAAATAGATTTTCTTCATCTTCTACATAAAACATCCTTTCTGAGTTACTAAACTTTTTTCCAAAGTACACTGTTTTTGATCCAGAATTTAATTCTGTGACATTCAGACTGTTCTGATTGCACCAAATGTAATTCCACCCCCACTGAAACCCACCTCAGGCCTTTTCCCAGTGTGATCCAGCTATTTTTCTTTGGGATGTTACAGGAAGCTACACACTACCATTCTGATACACGACAGTGAATACGCTTCAAGGGTTTTTTTTTCATAATTCCTGGTAGCATTGCAACTCAGCAAACTGTTTTGATACATCTGTGTAAGCAATTTAACTCTCCTCCTGCTCCCCACTGCAACTCAGTGCTCTGCTTTTAACAAATTGGCAGAATCCTAACAAATACACACTCCAAAGCTGTCATACGGTGCTGTTGCCTATCATCCCATTCAAATGGTTTCTTCAAGGAAATTGCCAGTAGTGTTAGTCCTGCTGGTTATCATCTGCAGGATATTTCAACCAGAATGCCATGTATGCAGAATTCTTGATTTTACTTTAGTTTGCAAAAATATTTGCCGTCTGAAGTGTTGTCTGCTTATTCGAGCCATTAGACAGAAATACAAGTAAGGTTCTCTGCTTTCAACTGAGATTTACAAAAATCCTCATTACCTCCTGGGAAAAAAAAGAAATGGCAAAAGACATTTGAAGGAAAAGAAGTAGGGCATCTATTGCTGCTGCATGTTTAATTTTATTTGATTTACTATACTTAACTTTTTCCTTTGTTGGCAAAAACAACCTTAGCGGCTGCTAATGCTGTTGCCAGTGTCTCCATCTGCATCTTTGGTTACTTCTTGGATTTGTTCTCCTTCTGCATTTGCAGAATTCTGCTTGCATCCTCTGGACTCTCGTGGGAATTTTTCCCCTTTGTGGCCAACATTCACAGCAGCTTGAAGTTACTCTCATTGTGGATGACATTTTCCTGCAGTTGAAGACACCTGAGCCCAGTTCCCTCTCGAGCTTCTTACATGGCCTTGGTGATCACTGCCACTGATAAGGGAAATGCCTCTGTCTCATCTTCAGAAGTCTCAGGTTCACGTTGTGCACACCCATGTTTCAGTTCTGTCATTAATCCCAAATCCCCTTTTGGAGCGTTTATCTGAATTAATCTCATCTTGTAATTTTGCCATGTAGCTTTATTTTGCAGCTGGACCCTTCCTTATCTTTCCTTTTGTAGATTCTTTCCCTTGGGAGTGGTTTCAGTAAAACACCTCGGAAAGCATTAAATTTAGTCTCAAAGTTGGTACTGTATTTGTTGGCATTTCTGTCTGGCCTGTTTTCTGCTGACCTTTACTTAAATGATTATGTATATGCATGTGTGCATGTATATTTGTAATGCTTTCTGTCTTGTTCAAGTTTAATTTTACTCCCTGAAACAAGCTTTTCTCTTGAGCTCAATGTCCCAGTTGTTTCGTTAGGATTGTGACAAGTCTGCTCATACAAGGCACATCCACGGCACATCTGAATGAAAGTAAACATCCTGTGTTCCTCAGCCTTCTATAAACCCCAGCAGATGGCTGCTGCTTTGACAAACTGTGTGGAATAGGGTGGATCACATTTCCCATGCAACAGACTTATTTCTGGAAATCCAAACCCAGTATAATTCTTGAAGGTGGCAGCGTGGATCTAACCACAAAGTGGCTTAGCCCAAATCAGTCCTATGTGGCAACTCTTTGTAGCTCAGACCCCCTTGCTTTTTGGACTGGATGTACAGTGGGGGATACCCTAAATTGCTCATTCACACAAAGTTGCAGGAGGACTGGTAGCAGCTTTCACCTGCAGGTCCTTGTTCATCAACCTCAAGGTCCTTTGTGTAATACCTCTCCTTGTTAGAACCTGTGTATGTTTTTTTGTCCCCTGTGATTAAGTATCTCCTGGAGAGAAATGGTATTTCTTAGAATTGCCTGGATTTTTCCTTAATGCTCAGAGACAGTCCCTGCTCAGGATACTGGCAGAATCTGCAGGAGGTGATGTATATTTTCTACACCTCAGGTAACACTCAGGAGATGTGTGCCACAGACATATGTCTTATCCTGGTTCCCTGCAGCAACAGTTCACTGGTGTGTCTGTGCTTACCCTGTGTCTGGAATCAAAGGCATTTCCATGTCCAGGTGGATTAGCAGCAATCACAGAATCACAGAGTGGTTTGGGTTGGAAGACACCTTAAAGACCCTCCACCTTCCACTATCCCGGGTTGCTCAGAGCTCCATCCAGCCTGGCCTTGAACACTTCCAGGGATGTGGCATCCACAGCTTCTCTGGGCAACGTGTTCCCAGCCTTAGACTTGACCCTGTGTGTGTGTGTGTGTTCAGGAACCCATTTCCATCTCATTTGATTTCCTAAAAGGAAGCAACAAGGGAGTTATTTTGGCTGCAAGTCCAAGCAAATAGCCTCTATTAGGTCTTAAAAATACTGTTGGGGATGTGTCCTGAGTGAAAGGCAGCTTGGGAGTGGGCTTCATCTTTTCTTGTTTAAAACTTTCCTCCACTGAGTAACAGGCTTTCCATCACATGTTAAGAGTATTAAGCATCAAAGGAGAAGGCTTTTGAAAGACCACCTGCATTCTTCTAGAACTTGTCTACAACCTCTTGGCATAGATGATCTTCAATGGGCTACATGTCTGTTCTGTTGCATTCAGAGGCCCTAAAAATGCTGCCATTTGTTTAGAATCATAGAATCAATAAGGTTGGAAAATACCTCCGAGGTCATCAAATCCAGGAAATATTTCTAAAGAACTAAGAAATTTCTGGTGTTTCTGCTCCAAATATACTTGTTACAAAAAGGCTGAGTGCAAGCTGGTCTAGCATTACCTATCCTTGTGTGCCTTCATCAGCCAGAACCTCACTGGTCATGCAAACCCAATACACAGTTAATCATGGGATATTTTCCTCCATCACACCAACGTAGAAGGCTTCCAGTGACTCTTGAGTGCATATTTCCATTAAGGATTCAGTAGACTGATCACACTCCAAAACCCATGAAGTCTGTATTATTTCCTAAATCAAAGTTTCTTACACTTCCAATTTTGTTTACAATTCATTGTTTGTTTTTTTTTTAACCATCTGCTATTAAGCCGGATTTCATTTTATTTTAAGACATTTTGTACTGTGCCCATTGAGCTCAGTCACTTCCTCATTATCCATCCTGCCCTTTCATTCACTGGTCATTTCAGAGCAACCCAGGAGGCAGGAACTTTGAAACCAGAGATTTTACAGGTCTCTGGCCAGCATTCTCTTCACAGTGATGATATATTTTGTGTAGTATTGCATAAGGGCAGCATCCTCTTGGTCAGGTATTTCTGTGGCTAAACAGAACACACTGTTGGTCAAAATCTCTAACTAGGTGGAGTAAGAGATGAGACTGTTCATCCTGTCTTCCAACAGCTGCTTCTGTTTCCTTGAAGAGAGACTCCCTAGGTGGCTATGTCCATTTTCCCACTAATGGGACTAAGTGTCATTGACTGGTGTGCACAGCCAAAGACCTTCTTGAGATGCTTTTTTTTACAAAAGCTTGTGCTCAGAAAAAAATCAATATTACAGAAAAAAACAACCTATCAACATTTTCCCTTATACAGAGACGAGTTTCCATTTGCTTTATATTATTATATTTCCTGGCCACAGAAGGATGGGCACTGAAATCAGGTGGATTACCTGCAGTCATGGAACTCTGCCAATAATTCATTATATTTTGCGAATTGCAATATTCCTGATCTTGGTTTGGTTCTTTAATCCAGAAGAAAGATTTTAAAACTGCTTGTGCTGACCCCCTCAGAGGTGTTTGTAAATAAAGTATGAACCACAAAGCTGTATCTGTTTCTTACCCTTTTTTTTTTGCATTTTGTTTTCCCCAGCGGTGCCTCTTTGGCTTTTCCGCGGAGTTTTTCAAACTCAGCAAAAGCATCTGTGAACCATTTTGCCTGCTACAGTAGGACACCTGTTTATGCATGCAGACTTCCCTTCTCGTCTGGGAAGATGGACAACAATATAAGCCCTTGTACTACAAAACCAGATGAACTTAGAATCACAGAATCATTTAGGTTGGAAAAGACCTCTAAGATCATCGAGTCCAGCCTTTAACCCAGCACTGCCAAGCCCACCACTAACCCAAGTCCCCAAGTGCCACATCCACATATTTTTTGAGCACATCCAGGGATGGTGACTCAACCACTTCCCTGGGCAGCCTGTTCCAGTGCCTGACAACCCTTTCAGTGAAGTAATTTTTCCTAATACTTTTCCATCTGTACAAAAAATTATGGTTCTGCACAAGTGGGCTTGAGTAAAATTGCAGTGAATGATACCAGGGGTCAAATGAGGCATCCAAAATCACCAAGAACACTGGATTCAAGTGTAAACCTTCCAGTACCTGAAAGGAGCCTACACAAAAGCTGGAGAAGGACTTATTACAAGGGCAGGT